GACCAGAAAGTTTGCTATGAGATTGTGCTTTCAACTCATAAGTTACATCCACAAACTCTAAGCACCCTAACTGCCCAAACGAGTTATGAACAAGGAGGACACCAGTGGACATGCAAAACTGAATGGGGAAAAAGCCAAGGGGCCTCAAAACCCTAAGCAAAGAGCTACACACCACTAAGGAATGCTGAGAGCGAGACAAATAGTCTTCCCAAGGAAGAGCATACGAATTGGTTACTCAATACTAAATGTCAGCTCTGAAAACATACATAAGAGTAACACTAAACAGACTGTGCAGGTTACATTTAGAAAATATATGTATAATATATGCATACAATAACAACAAAAAGAGGACATTAACTTGAAAAAGAGCAAGAAGGATATATGGAAGAGTCTGGAAGGAGGAAGGGAAAGGGAGAAATGTTTCAATTACATTATATATAAGAAACAAAGAAGTAATAAATAACATAAATTAAGATGTTCCTATTCAATGGGTGCTGTGAAGGTAGAGACCTTCCATGAAGCCTAAACCCAGTCTCCTCCAGATAAAGTTGGATAAAATTTGCTCCATTTGTCTGCTTACAGGAAGACTAAGGTCTCCCTGGTGGGACAGGATCAAGGCCAGTTCGAGGCAGTTTCTTATAAGACACAGAGACAAGAGAGAAGGAAGGAGCACTAGCTGTGTGAGACACACAACTGCACAAGTTCTAAGGCATGCTCAACACCCTGAGAAAACAGTGCTTTCTCCATGGGACCTAAGGAAAAGCATGAGCTGCCGGAATACTAAACGCTGTATCTATTTACTTCTGCTGGTCATAGAAGTAACTCCACAGTTTTCCAAACATGAACTCACATGGATGTTTATAAGAATCTTGACACAACTACAATGGAAAATAATTGTCCTATAGCAAAAACTACTTTTTAGCAGTCCAATGTACAAGGCCTGCACTATAAATAATACCCACTGTGGTGTGGTGCTTTGGATGAGAATTGCCACATAGGCTCCTATGTTTGAACACTTGGTCCCAGTTGGTAGAACTTCTTGGGAAGGATTAGGAGGTGCGGCCTTGTTGGAAGGGTTGTGGTGATGGTGGCGTTGTAAGAGGTTGACAAAGTGGTGAATTTGAGGTTTTAAAAGCCAGTGCTATTCCAATTGGCTCCCTGTTTCGTGGTTATGTCTCAAGATGTAAATTCTCAGCTACTGTTCCAGGACCATGTCAGCCTGCCTGATGGCATGTTCCCTGACACACAGAGTCATGATAATCATAGATTTTAACCCCCTGGAACTATGAGCCTCAACAAGCATTTTCTTTTCCAAGTAGGCTTGGTCTTGGTGTCTCTTGATAGCAGTAGAAAAATGACTAAGACACCCACACTGGTGTAAGTTCAGAACCATACAGCTCAGTCAAATGGAATCATTGGCTTTCATCAAAAACTATATGCCCCAATTCTGCCTCCAAAACACTACATACCCCAATTCTGTCTCCAAAAGAATTCCAGAGTTTTTTGCAAAGAGAAGTGTTTTTTCACGGCATAATGGATTCTCTGGACGAGCATGTGTGAAAATCCAGAACGTTTTAGAAGATAAGCCATTGTAGGTGAATGTCCAAAAGGATCTATAGCCCAACCTGACCGAGGTTTCACTCCTGTTGATAAAGAAAAGAAGCGTTAGTTTTGTTTTGTTTTGAAGGTAAGTGAAATAAAAAGAAGTTACAATATGTTGAGACTCATCAGAGTTTCACAGACTCCTGGGCTTGAAGAGAAAGGAAACACTCACCACACCACCTCACAGCTATGATTAAGTGACTGCCAACCATTGGAGGTAGACCAACACTCAGTCTGTCATGGAGGATTAGACAACCCAGAGACCAGATGATTTGTCACTTCAAGTTACCCTTCAAATCTCAACAGCCTGCCATTAACTCCTTTAAACAGTCCAACATCATCATGCCACACACAAGGCAGACCTGATTGAAATAACTGCCCTGCACGCTCTGCTGAGTCTCAATGCGTCCTGATGTTCTTCCTTCCTTTCTCTCTACCTAGAATGAGGTCAACGGAAGGCTTCAAACATGGCTCAGAGCAGTTACAAGAGCCATCAGCTAAAATGTGCCTCTGCTTCACAGAGGACAAAAAGGGTGACAAAAATAAAGGCACAGGTTAGAGTTAATGAGACAAGAACATTCATCTAGCACTATAAAATCTGATCACTCGGTTAGTCAAGCCTCAAAAAGGCGTCTTCTATGCACTGTATAAAAGTTGGCAAAACTAATAGAGCTGTGCATGAGTTTTTTTGTTTTTGTTTTTTGTTTTCATTCAAGCACCTGTTTAGCATTCCCACACATCTACAGTGATGAGAGGCCTGAGGGTTTCAACAATGAGTTACGGCTGAACCTGGCTTGGGTAGCAGAGTTATCGGTCAAATAGCTATAACCCAAAGAAACTCCTAAGACAGGAGAAAAGGGAACCTTGTTGAATAATTCTAAAGAATAATGCAGGAAGCCACAAAGGAGACTGAGAGAAAAGGCAAAGACACATGCAAGACTCAATTTAGTCAAAATTACACACACACACACACACACACACACACACACACACACACACACAAGTTGGTGAGGAGGAGTAGGATAGTATTCTTGATGTATGGCCTATAAATTTATTATATTTAATTTCATCAGTTGTGCTGGACAGTTTCACGTTGACTCAAGACAAGTTATAGTCACGTGAGGAGGGAACCTCATCTGAGAAAATCCCTCCACAAGGTTGGGCTGCAGGCAAGCCTGTATGTCATTTCCTTAATTAGTGATCAATGGTGGAGGTCCCAGTCCATTGTGAGTGGGACCCTGGGCTGGGGGTCCGAACTACTATAAGAAAGCAGGCTAAACAACAAACCAATGAGCAGCGATCCTCCATGGCCTCTGCGTCAGCTCCTGCCTCATCTGAGTTCCTGTCCTGACGTCGTCCTTCATGACAAATTGTGAGTTTGAAGTGTAAGCCAAATAAACCATTTTGCTCCCCAAGTTGCTTTTGGTCACGGTGTTCCATCACGGCAACAGTAAACCTAACTAAGACATTAATAATTCAAATATCTGGGGAGAGAATGTGGACATATGTGTGGGCAGAGTGGAGACCAGAGGTGGGTACTAAATCCCCTGAAGCTGGAATTACAGGTGGTTATAAACTACCCAGCGTAGTTCTGTGAACCAAAAGCGTCCTCTGGAAGAGCAGTCACTGCTCTTAACTGCAGAGCCTTCTCTCTAGTTCCCTCCTCCAAACTATTAATTAGAAAGAAAAACTTTAATAAAGAAGTGTAGCAGGGTTTTCCTTGGCATTAAACGAATAATTTTTTAAGGGTAAGAGAAACATTCAGGAATAATATAAAAAAAAACAAACTTTTATAATTAAGAATAAATAGGAAATTCAGACTACTATAATAGTATATGTCACAAGCAGTTACAAATTATGTTTCTTCTTCCTTTTGCTGAAATGCTACCATCCTATTTTTCTACTCAAAATACCAACTACTTACATAAAGTATTGTTTAATACAGAAATTACTACATATAATTATTATTTTATGTTATAAAGAAAATGTTGGGCTTGTCATAAAACAATTTTAAATGACATTTTAGATAGAAAGCAGATTATATCTAAAATTACAGAAATACTTTTAGCATTATTTTAAAAATCTGCCCCCAACAGAAGGTTCTGTAAAAATAAACTGTTGCAGTAAGTTTTTCAAATGCCCATAACATTTTTGGAATGTAAAGGGTGCAATGCTGATTAGTTATGACATTAAATATCATAAACCAATAAATAATTCATATGAATGTAGCACATTAAGAAAGAAATCTCATCTCACTTATGAAAACAAATATAAAAATCATAAAACAAAACAAAACAAAAAAAACACTACACAAATTGAACTCCACAGCACCCAAGCCAGAAGGGACTTGTTCTGGAAGTCAATGACTTTTTAATTGAGCAAACTGCGATCACACTCACACAACAAATTAGAAAAACCACATAACGTTAATAGTCATTTAAAAGAAATGCAGTATATACTGCAAATTAGAAAGTACTGAAAAGAATTTTCTCAACACTATTAAAAGATATCTACATAAAATAATAGGCAACATCTACTATCTTTAACCAATTTCATAAGAATCTGAAATAAGGCAATTGACACTTTTAACATGTGACTATGTCAGAATGTTTGAACAAAGCAAACAGATATATGGTCTAAATACTAACTGTACTAAACAGATAATTTTCATTTTTTTAAGGTAGGACAGATACTATACGATAATTTATCTAAAATATTAGCAGTATAGCATTAAACAGTTAAAAGAAAGAAGATTGTTACTGTTATGGCTGAGTTAACTGTAGACTTGGCAGATTCTAAAACCATCTAGGTGATAGGCCTTGGGCATATCTGTGAGGAACTGTCTTGACCATGTCAACTGATGGGCAAAGACACCTCTCAGTTGCAGTTAGGGTCCGGGCTATGTGTGTGGACACAGTGGGTTGAGCACTGGTTGGCATTCGCTGCTCTCTTCTTAAGGTGGATTCAAGGGAGCAACTGCTTCATCTCCTGACACCTTAACTTTCCCCTCGTGAAGGACTGTGACACGGAGCTGTGAGCTAAAATAAATTCTTTCTCCAATAAGTTGTCTTGTGAAAGTATTTTATCACAGCAATGGTAGGAGAAACTAAGAAAATCAAAGAACAGAGGCTGGCAAGATGGCTCAGTGGGTAAAAGCACTTGCTGTACCAGCCTCATGACCTGAGTTCAACACCCAGAATTCATGGTGGAAGGAGAGAGCAAACTCCTAAAAGCTGTCTTCAGACTACCATGCATGTACTGTAGTACACATATATCTGCATCCACCTACACACAACACACACATGGGGGGGTACACTCAGAGACAGAAGGATTAATAAAATCTTTTTTTTTTTTTGAGTGAAAGCTCATGATTTTATTGTCTTCATAACAAGGTCAGCTTAGAATTGGATCACTTGTCCCTTTCTCTTCTTATCACCACCCAGTTCAAAATGCTTGCATCTCTTAATAGCCAGCATCCTCTTAGATCTGCAGTTGGGCTCCACACATTCCAGTCTCAGCACAATCTTCTTTGTAGTTTTTGCCTTTTTGTGGAAAATAGGCTTAGTCTGCCCACCATAGCCACTCTGTTTCCTGTCATAACGCCGCTTTCCCTGGGCATACAAAGAATCTTTGCCCTTCTTGTACTGGGTCACTTTGTGGGGTTGGTGTTTGCCACATTTCTTGCAGAATGTACGGCGGGTCTTAGGAACGTTCACCATGTTGGCGGGTGCGATATAGGCACAGAAAGCGGATTAATAAAATCTTAAACAACAAATGAAAAATCATAAAAATAGTAGAAAATCTTCATACAGCATATATATGAAATGGCTCCGATTCTAAACAAAGAACACACACACAAAGGTAACAACCCAATTGAAAGGGGTGAGACTTAAAAACTTCAAAATAAGCAAAACAATGGGCAATAAACACAAAAATGTACTCAACATTCTTAGCTGTGAAATAAACGCAAGCTGAAACAATAAAATCATTTTATCTCTACTGAAATCATTACTTGAAAAGACTGGCATTAGAAATGTTGGCAAAATATGGAACAAACTCATTGCTGGCTGAATGTACAATAGTAAAAGCACTCTGCAAAGCTTTGCCATACCTATAAAGTTAAGCACAATATACCCAGCAATTCTATTCCCAGTATTTATCAATGACAAGGAAATATGCTTTAAAAAGAGCTCGTGAAAGCCTGTGTCATACAGCGAGCATCTAGAAGCACACTACAGACATTTCACAGAAATATACTTTAAAAACCAAAAGCTACCCAGCGATGAAAAGGAGTGAATTAAGAATATATGCAAGTCCCAAACATAAAAACCAATCACTGCTTTATGGTAGTGACAAGATATAAGAAAGCTATACAAAAATCAACACACAGAGTTATATACACCAACAATAACTACTCCTAACTGAATCAAAAAAATAAATCCCACTTACAGTGGCAACTAATAAAATAAATATCTAGAAGCAAATACAACAAAGAAACGAAAATAAAAGCCATGAAAACATTACTGAGGAAAACAGGATCTACATGAATGGGAAACACAGCTCATGTTCACATAACAGGATTTTGTGTGGCTAACATGGAAGTGTTTCCTGTTAGACCAACATATTCTACACATTCGTACCAAAATCACAACTTGTATTTATTTATTTTTATCTTATGTATAAAAGTGTTTTTGCCTCCCTGTACAGTTATGTACACAAATTTGCATGAAGTGCCCAAGAAGGCCAGAGGAGAGCAACAGATCCCCTGGAACTGGAGTTACAAGCAGGTTTTAGGGTTTACAAGTTATAGGGGTTCACGAATCCCAGGCTGGCTCGGACTCTAGTAGGTAGACCAGAAAGACCTCAACCTCCTGAGTGCTGGGACTACAGACACACCACCATGTCCAGTTTATGTGATACTAGGAACTGACCCCAGTGCCCTGTGCATGCTAAGTATTCTACCTATGAGCCACATCCCCAAGCACAGCTAGTAGTACGGGAAATATTAATTAGGTGACCTAGCATTCATGGACACATGTGTGTCCATGTGTGCGAGCACACACACATGAGTAAACAATTTTTTTTCTTTTACGTTGGTATGATAATGCTCCTGAATATCACATTTTAATACAAAGCTATATAATCAAGATAGTGTGATACTGACATGAGGGTAGACATTCTCAGAAAGAATGACAGGACAATTCAAGAAGAGAAGAAGCATCTTTTCAACAGGAGTGTTAGGACAAAGGGACACTGTCATACAAAAGAACAAGTGTGAAATTCTACCCATATCTCACACGCACAGGCTAACTGAATCACAGATATAAAACCTAACCCCAAAAATTATCAGGAAAAAAAAAAAAAACTAACACATGGCCTTGGCTGAGAAAATGGCTTCTTACTATGCCATCAAAACCACAAGTGACAAAGAACAAGGAAATCAGACATACTTGAAGAGAAAACTCAACCTGGGCGGAATATGCAGATTTTTCTTGGCCAAAACACTATTTATACAGCATGCACATTTTTCTTAATATTATAAAAGAGAGTAATTTAAAATATAAAGGAAGAAGTAAGCATAATGGTTTTATGTACATATTGCATCATTTCACTAAAGAAACCCCGCATTCTGATTATCTGTGGGGAATTCTAGAACCAATCTCCAAAACTTATATTCAAAAATGTGAATGGGAGCCTGGGACAGAGAGCAAGAGAGGTGGGCACTGATGGATATGAGGTTTGTTGTGTAGATGTGAGCATAACACACCACCAAACTGTAGACTTTAAACAAGTACACTTTGTTATATGTAAATCTGTCACAATCAAGTTATAAGACAAAATTATACTGTACAAAGAAACTAGATGCAAAGGAGTATTCTATGAATCTATATGTGAACTCTTCAAAAAGCAAAATGCATCTACAAAAGCAGAAACCCAGGAGCATTTGACTGGAAGGAGAGAGGGGAGGGGAGCAGAGAGCACTCTCAGGTGATATATAAAATGAGTATATATGTGTATCTGTCAAAACTCACCAACCTCTATGCTGAAGATATATACACTGTACAGCATTCAAGTTATATTTCAACAAAAGTTGAACATTAAGAAAAACCTACAAGTGAGGTGAGGTGGTTTAAAAGAAAATGTCCCCCAAAGGGAATGTTACTATTAGGAGGTGTGGCTTTGTTGGGGTGGGTGTGGCCTTGTTGAAGGAAGTGTGTCACTGTAAAGGTGGGGCTTTGAGGTCTCAGATATGCTCAAGCCATACCCAGTGTCTCAGTTCACTTCCTGTTGCCTGCAAGTCAAGACACTCCACTCCTTCTCCAGCACCATGTCTGCCTGCATGCCACCATGCTCTCTTCCATAATGATAATGGACTCAAGCTCTGAAAATGTAAGCCAGCCCAGGTAAATGTTTTCCTTTACAGGAGTTGCTGTGGTCATGGTGTCCCTTCACAGCAACAGAAACCCTGACTAAGATGTGAGGTTTATAAACAGTGGCTCTCTTGGCTTATGACGTATGTCAGTGTTTAAGGAAAGTGGCCATTGTGTACAGGTCTGAAAGCTTCCCCTGTGCCCACACGATCACCTAGGCTCACTGACTTGTTAGAACTTGAGTGTCCGAATACTGTCACACAGCTGTGACTTAGGACAGAGAAAGGACAGAGTAAAAGCGTCAAAGATAAAAGGCACCACAACAATGGTAGGGGAAGAGAAAACAAAATCCGTTAGTAACTGGTATGTGTGGAAGTTTTGTAGGATCTCTTTGCAGTAGATTTAACTGTGTTAGAATAAAAAGGAAAGAAATAGTTATAATAGTGAGGAATTTTTAACCCTAACAGAGAAAAAAATAAATAATAAATTACCTAGAGATAAATTCAATAAAAATCATAAGTGCTTATCGTATAAATGCTATAAAAGTTATGGTGAGATATGAAATATTTGAAAAGAGCTTCATGCCATGTTACAGGCAGGAGAAGATGTCAATCCATTTCAGGTTTTAGTGAACTGTAGAAGATGCTGTCAACCCCACAGCCTCCTCCTCATTTCTCTTGGGAGAAGTCTTTTTCTCAGATGGACCATCTCCACAGGTCCAGGCACAAGAAGGACTGACTGCCACCTACAATTCCATCTCCCTGGAGACCATCACCATCGAAACAAGTCCTGTCTGTACCTCAGTGATAAGCACCCGACTCATCAACTCAATGAGATAAAATATTCAGAAAAATGCCTTATCCTCAAGGTACTGTTTGCTAAACCGGGTGGTAGGGGAGTGTTTCTGCTACCAAGTGCCCTCTTTCTTACACACTGCTTAGAGAAACTAGGGTAAAGACCAAAGCACAAGCAAGATGAGCTCAAGGAAACACTCTCAACAGTGTACATCATGCCCCTGTCTCCAGAATTGTTCACAATACTATAAAGGCCTTTACCTTTTTCTTCTCCCCCATACTCATTTGGGATTAAGCTAATAGGGTTTTGCCTCCTATGATCAAGTCTTAACTAATATATAATTAAAATAATAAACTTCTAAACAAAATAAAACATGGAAAAATAAGATATAAAACAAGATTAATGACCTTAAATGGAATTATCGTGGCTATGAAATTGAGATAATAACCTAATAAATATGATTAGCGAAGAATAAATTATTCAACAATTACGAGGACTATTAGTTCAGATTCCCTAAGTGCAACTTCCCCAAACAGCCCGAAATGAAAGGGGGGAGGGGAGACACATGAATACATACCTAGATTTTTTTCCAGCCATTGATGCCCTTCAATTAGTTGGTCAATTAAGGCAAAATAATGTGCCGTGGCTTCATCAGGCATAACCCAGCCACCCGTCACAATCTCGAGCTGACCGTTCTGTAGCAAGCTAGGAGAAAATAGATAGAGGTTAAGGTAACAACAGTGACAAAGTTCCAAGAAGAAACTGAAATACACCAAGATTTAAGATGAACCTTTACAAGTGGCCTGCACTTAAGTGGGGGTGGGTGGGGAGTGGGCATTTCTTTTGAAACAAGTCACTGAGTTTCAACTCCAGCCCTCAGGGATGAAGTACCCATGGTAAAGGATTTCGGGTGACCCTTATTTTCCCAGGACACGATTTCCAAGGAGGTATAGTAGGAAGAAGACTTCTGGGGTCGGGAGCTCCAGGGTTTATTTTTGAACCTCACAGTCATTGAGCAACATGGTCTACTCAGGTGATGAACCTGGCATTTCCTGGACTGTCATTTCAAAGACGGTGTCTACTTCAATATGCCGGTATCAGAAAGTGTTATTTACCTCTGCTCTGTCAAGTTAATAAGCACACCACTCAGTAAATGCAATAATTAAGTACTGTGTTTCAGTTTTAGTAAAATGTGGGCGATATGGCTTTTTTGGGACCGTTGAAAGCTATACCTTGGGACCGTTGAAAGCTATACCATTACTGTTATTTGTTTGCTGAGTATTCCTTTGCAATAATGCCAGACAAGAGAATGGCTACTAATTGTTAGTTAGTAACATCTCTTTCTTTTTCTTTTGTATTTCCAATACAACCACCTGTCCATTTGAGAGGTGTGGAAGTTCACAGAGCCAGGAAGCTTTTATGATTATTCATCAAGACGTGAAGAAAAAACAAAACAAAAAAAAGCTAGAATTTCTAAAAACTTCATTTAAGAACACAATTAAGTCCAAGAGCGCTTGCTGTTCCCTCCCATCTTCTGGACAATGGGCTTTTACTCAGTTAGTTCTTTTGTACTGACCCTTGTATCTAAGTCTGCCACACTCCAGAGGCTGT